TTGCATACCCAGCTCAGCTTGCCACCCAACCCTCTTGTCAGCTAACCCTCACTGCTCCAGCTAGAGAGTGGAGGAGCCGGGTCAGCACTGCTCTCTGGAGCACAGCCCAGTCCAGGGCTGGAAAGCATGTGTGGGAACTGTGATTTAACTTGAACCAGGAAGGGGTCTGGGGCAGAAGTTTCATAAACCAGTTTGACCCAAGTCAGTTAAGTCTTTATCTTAAACCAGTTTCAGCCATTTTGAAACTGGTTTATGTGCACTGAACTTCCATTCTGTTACAGATTTTACTTGTTTTACTTGTTTCTGATCATTTATATCAGTTTATGTGTAATTTCTTATATGATCAGCCAATTAACCAGACCCCTTTCTTCCTCCATCACCTTCAATACATGATGTCCTACCATAGATCTAAAGGTCTTGGTAACAGTCCCTAAGTTAATGATTTTGCCCTTTGTACTATTACATTTCCCTTTAAGCAAACAGTTATCTCATTCTTCCTCTGTGAAAAGATGGTCATCCTCCATCCCTGTTCCCCCCTTCCCCCCTGCCCTGGGTTGGTAATACCTCCCAGCTTAGCATTGTCTGGAAATTTCATAAGCATACATCTAGTTCCTGTACTCAGGTTGCTAGTGAAAATGTAAATAAGATGGACCACAAGATGGATCCATGAAGAACATCTGGGATTCAGTGTTTTTTTATCTCGTTAGTCTCAAGGTACCCCTCAGAAAATACCAGCCCTTGGTTTTCATTCATTGTTTCATTAAAAAAAATAAAAAAGCAATTTTTCTGTTGCAAAGGACTCAAAAATCACAATAGGTCAGAATGTTTTTAACACGGTTGCCTCCTATTCAAAATCCCTGGTTTTATCTTGCAAATTATGTTTGCACCAATAACAGTGCTGACATTACATGGCACCTCACAGCACCCTTGAAACAATCTCAAGGCTCCCCAAGGTGCTGTAGCACCTTGATTGAGAATCCCTGATTTTATTTGTGAATGGCATTTTTCTGTTATGCATCAATCTAAGGGCTAGTCCTGGCTGCATTGACCAGTCCCTGTGATAGCAGAGGCTTTCTTCTGTACTTCCCTATATAGAACAAGAACATAAAAGTGTCACCCCTCCCCTTCACAGCAAAGAAAACAACACTGCAGAAAATGGTATGGAATGAGACAAACATGATACATGCACAAAATAATTTGTATTTCATAAGCATACATACGCATACATGCTCAGTCAATGCTCTGGGTGATACATACACAAACTAATTTATGTCAGGGTTAAAAACTTTGTGCTGCTCTTTGAAGCTTGTAAACATTTTCTTATTTGCTCTTGTTCTTATGATGATGAAGTTCTAGGGGAGTGCCTTTTTATTTCTGTCATACAAAAAACTACAACTCTTAGTTCCAAAATGATACCTTTTATTAGACCAACTGGGAATCACAAGAAAAATGTCCTTTTCTGCAAGCTTTTGGGATCAATGTCCCTTCGTCAGGCTCTGGGAAAAGTATAGATGGTACAAGATGGTAAAAAGTCCCCACTTCATTTTTGGAAGTTTATTTAGGAAATAAAATTTTTATTTCTGTATTATTCAAAATCCTTAGGCAGCTTTGGCTAACACTGGATAGGAATCTGGTGTGGCCTCTGGCCTGCTAGTCACCATGGGCAAGTCACATTACTTTCTCTCTCTCTGGGTGCATCTACACAAGACACTACACCACTGTAACCATGAGCTATGGCAGCATATCCCGTTGCAACAGCAACGTAGCATCATTGGGCATGAACCATGACGCTACCAATACTGCACAATAGCAAGGAGCTACTGCAATAGGGTTGGAAGCAACCCATGCAGCACCAGGACTCCTCAGTACTGGCAGTTACTGCGCAGTCACTTGGAAATGTATGGATGAGAGGAGCTACATAAGAGCTAGCTATTATCTAAATATTAGCCTTTGCACATGTGATAATTCAGTGCAGAAAAAAAACAAAAAACAGGAACTTTCCCTATAAAGCTTCACATTCCTCCACAAATGTTTATTCAACTTGAAGGAGGGCCAAATTTACCTCATCACATAACAGATCCATACAGAGTGACAGTACCTCTGTTTCAGTCACAGAAGTGTGCTGCCCAGATCTTTCCAATCTGCTGAAGTTTTCTTCTGCCTCAGTCGCTCTAGTATGGGTGTAATCAATGATCTCATTCACACTTGAAGTCTCCAAAGAAGGGCTAAACCGGTTTTAATAATGTACATCATGTCCTCATCCTTCAGTGTCCTCAATGATGTAATTAAATTACTGGTAGAGTGCAATCTAATTCCACCCTTTGATTTTCATACCGTGAATGTTAATACGAAATACACTTCACTGCCACAGCTACAGTTATGCTGGCATACCCCCGCGGAAAACTTTTGCAATGTGGTCTGCATTTCATCAAGGGACCTGCGCATTACACTTATGTAATCTGTGATGCTTACATGTATATAGGCTGTGTGTTTCCCTTTGCTTTCTGGAGATCATGATTCTGTTTCCTGAGACATCTAATCTCTCTGGATGTTATTGGCTTCAAGCATTTGGCTTCTTGAACTATAGCTCTGTTGTCAGTGCCTCACTTTATGACTGCACAGTTCGTGGATGGCAAACCTATTATCTAACAATGGCTTAAGTTCTGGCAAACAAGCCAGTATTGACTTTGGTCAGTAGCTCTGTGTATGCTTTGGTGTATTATGTCAAAACATTTACAGTTTACCTCGTTCTATTATCCTATTTGAAGGTACTTTTTGTAATAGTTCACTAGCAACATGTGTGTGTAAATAAAAGCCCATGTAAGAGTCATAATGTAGGATATTACACTGTACTGTTTTTACAGGGATAATGGATTGAAAATTCTTTGAACAGCAATCACCAAGAATGAATTGCTGCCCTGCCTCAGGGTGTTTGATCTCATATATGGCTCCAAGGTAGAATATTGCTTTTATTGTAATGCAGGTAACTAATATCAAGAGTATGTTGGGGGTCACTAGTCACATTATCATTTTTTATCCCCTACTCAGATGATGACCTGAAATGCACATCTGTAACTGTTATGTCTATACAGGCTCTGGTAACAAGCTGGTTTTGGACTTTGCTAGAGTGAGTACTGTATTTTCTGTCAGATGATGCTCTGCTTCACTTTCTTCCTATTATAGAATATACCTGGGCCAGTGCTCTGTTGCCTATTAAAACTAAATTATAATTGTTTTTTTCAGACGGCCTGCCATGAACTGCATCAAGCTAGTGTGGCACCAAATGAAAAATAATATTAGGACAATTGTCAACTCAGGCATTGAACCAAGGAAGAACTGCTAATCATAGCTGCACATTTGCTGGGAAAAAGTGTTGACAATCAAACAGAGTAACCAACCCTATTAAGTGACTTTGCAGAGCCCCATGGCATGAAAGATGTTATAGAGGGATGAAATTTTTGTGCATAGAATGTACATGTAGGTATGCATGTACAAGTTTTAATAAATTATATCCTTTGCTATCGCTGAACTGGCTTGTATGTATGTTCACCTCATAATCCGTTTACAATAAAGAGAGTCCTAAGAGCCTTTAGTCAACATTTGAAAGTTGTTTTTAAGTACAAACTCAGCAAGAGTAGTCTTGCTTTCAAAGAGCTGGATTCCTTTCTTGGAGCTGCAGACCCACTGACTCAAAAATGCTTTTAAATTATTAAGCAGGTGCGTGGTTAGGGCTATACCCTGAAAACACAACACTGAAGAAAGGGAAGAGGATAATCAAATATCAAGAGTGCATTGGCTCTATGCATGCTCAGGGTCTTGCATCAGCATGTCAGTCTGGTGGTGCAAATGTGGGAGACTGAAGCAATGCACTGTTGGAAAATAATGGAATGTAAGTAATAACTGCAGTATACGTAGGATCTGGTGAGGAGAAAATATCAAAAGATCATATGAAATGGTCACAGCCTCCAGTTCACTGTGTACAAGGAGACTGAGTGAAAACATTACCACAAATGTCAATTTATTTTACTAGCAATAGCAACAAGCTGCATAAATTTGTGATGTATGCCTCCCATTGCTACAAAGGATTGACTTTCTCTTTGAACTTTCAAAATTAACATGTAAAAGCCAGTCATTCAGAGTACTAGTGGGAGTAATTTCTCTTAAAGAGAAGAAGCTAGTTGTATACAAAGGTGGGGTACCAACTTGGCGAGGGGCAGAAAAATAACAGCTGCCACTACAGCCACACAATCATGCCTGTGGCACAGCAGCAGTTGAACATCACTGCTGCTCCCATGCATCCTGCTGCCTGAATGAACAGTATAAATGTCAACTTTTGCCCTGCTTCTTGTCAAATAGCTCAAGATAGATATTAAAATTTAAATGGGCTGATTGAATAAAATATAGGACATACATGTGTATGTTTCTTTTTCACAGAGTGGGGAGGAGAGGGGAGATTGGGATACTTATAATTGATATGGTTCAGCTTCCTTTTGTCATTCAGGTTTTGTAGAAGCAGCTGGTGCAGAACATAGAAGCACACCTTCTGGGCGTTGGGCAAGAGCACATAACTCCAGTGCTCCCGAGTCTACACTGACTTCCAGTCGATTTCAAGGTGCAATGCAAGGTGCTGGCTTTGACCTATAAAGCTCTATGGATCTGAGCCCTTTTTACTTAAGCGACTGCCTTCTCCCTTATGTCCCATTATGATCTCAAAGGTCAGATGAGAGCAGTTTCCTGCAAATACCATCACTATGCCAAGTTCACTTGGTAAAAACACTTCAGAGGTTACCCTTGGCAGTCACACCTCAGCTCTGGAACTCCCTGCTGCTGGAGGCCTGCTAGAGCCCAAACCCAGACATCTTCAAGAAACTCTGTAAGACCTTCTAATTTGGACAGGCATTTAGGAAGCAAGGCTAGGCTAGGATATTATTCTGGGCTGGGTTGTTTTCTATTTTAGTTAGCTACTTGCCTTTATAAATTGGTTTGTTCTCTTGTTTTGTTCTCTTGTGCATTTTCTTGCTTTATACGTTATTTTGTTCACTTTCTGTAAGGTGCCCTCCCTAAGACTTTGTTGGGAAGGGTGGCTTATAAATCTAATGAATAAATAAATAAATAAAATAATATAAATGCCTGTCAGCTAGTAAGGCAAATGTAACCATTACCTCCAGTTCATGGGGAAAAACAGCAGAGATAGGGTTGCAACAACTTGGACTAGCAACAGAATATTGCTTTGTTTGTGAATGCACATAAAAACAATTTCAAAGTACACCTACTGCACTCTTCCTCTGACCTACATGGTAGGGCTGTGCGAAATTTCGACAGGTGTTTTGTTTCGAAGCTGTTTCAATGCATTTCGAAGTCAAAAAAGCAAAATCAAAACAAAACAAAGGCTTCAAAACAGCCTCAGAACAAAATAAGCACACTCAAAACTTTTCAAGTTTTGAAGCTGGGCTTGCTGAAGCTAAACATTTACTAAGGAGAGGGAGGGGGGAAAGGGAGGAAGGACTGCTCTGATATTGGCATCTAGCTTCCTGTTTGATTCCCCAGCTCTCTGATAATTTCTCCAGCTCTTCCTGGGGGGCACAGACCCCCAATCTGCATGCAGGTTTTCAGCAGGCTGCCACTGAAACTGCAGTGGCAGCATGCTAAAGCTCAGAACACAGATCCAAGTGCCCACATCCCACCAGGAAGAGCTGGAGAAATGATGAGAAAGCTGGGGGAAGTGGACAGGGGGCTGGGGAATTGAACCAGGAGCTAGGGGAATCCAGCCCTGTGGGCTGGGTGATATGGCCCCTCAGGCCAGATTCAACCTGAAGGCCAGAGGTTGAGCACCACTGGTCTACTGCAACCACTGAAAATGCAGGCTATATAATACAACAGCTTTAGGTCTCGAAGTCTTCAGTGCAGTTTTTGCTTTGGCAAAGTTTTCACAGCTCCAAAAGTTTTGCAGTATATTTAGCATAAATGCTTACTTGCGCAGAGTTATGATACAGGAAGCAATCAGCCTTTCCTTACAGGTTTTTTTTTATAACTTTGCAGAGGAAAGTTGGACAAGAGTAGAATGTCCCAAAGAGAAAGTGTCACATGACTTGTGTCTTTAAATTAAGTGACAATTTAGGTAAGTTATGAACTATTGCTCGCTCTGAGATTCTGATAGCATAACGTAGGATTTCAGGAATGTTTTTTCTGACTTTTTCAAGAATATGTATCTGGCTGTAATATGACTTTGCACTTATTTCTATTCTTAAGTCATAATTGTTGAAAAAGCAAGCAGTTACTTATTTTAAAGATGTGGGGTGTGTGATGCGGATAATTATTTTACAATGCCTTTCACTCAGAAAGATCCCAAAGCACTTTAAAAAAACTTTATGCTCTTTTCATATGACTGTAGTACATCTTCTGTATATACAGTATTCTTTTCAGCAGCCACTGAAATAAAGCCAGTCTAAAGTGGAGTGCAGCAGCTGTTAAACGTTACATAGCAAAACTGCCCAACAGTAAGACAACAAGTGAAGAACACAGTACCCAAACTGAGAATGGCAAGAGGGACTTGAAGACGTCCAGCCCCTCCAGAAGCTCTCTAACCCGATCCTCCCCAACCTGAGGTCTGGAGGCGTTCCCCTCAAGTCCATCATTATTGACTCCAAGATGAACATGGGCCGACAATGCAAGGTCACGGTTGGCAGGGCTAACCGGAACTTGTCGTGCATCCACAGGTGCTTCTCAAGTAGAGCCAGGGAGGTGATCCTCCCCCTCTACGCGACGCTGGTCAGGCCACAGCTGGAGTACTGCATCCAGTTCTGTGCGCCCCATTTCAGGAAGGATGTGGACAATATTGAAAGGGTCCAGAGGAGGGCCACCCACATGTTCCGGGGACTACAGGGCAGACCCTACATTGAAAGACTGCAGGACCTAAACCCGTTCGGCCTTCACAAGAGAAGGCTGAGTGGGGACCTGGTGACTGTCTATAAATTCACTAGGGGGGACCAGAAGGGTTTAGGGGAGACACTGTTTCCCCTAGCGCCCCCTGGCATGACAAGGAACAATGGACACAAATTATTGGAGAGTAGATTTAGATTAGACATCCGCAAGAACTACTTCACAGTTAGGGCGGCTAGGAGCTGGAACCAACTTCCTAGGGAAGTGGTGCTGGCTCCTACCCTGGCAATCTTTAAGAAGAGGCTTGTTGACTACCTGGCTGGACTCATTTGAGTCCAGTCTTTTCTCCTGCACAGGCGGGGGGTCGGACTTGAAGATCTACAAGGTCCCTTCCGACCCTACTTCTATGATTCTATGATTCTATGATCTTGAACTGGAGATTATTCAGATTGGTATTTGCCCATGGTATCAAGATGACTTTCACACCGAACAGAAAGAGGGTGAGGTACTAGAATTCTGTGTTACCTAGCAGAAGACTTGTCTAGGCAGAAGAGCAGTTGGTTAACAGCAGCCTCCTGTACACTTGAAGAAAGTATAGAGTTGTTCCAAAGCCTTTTTCCTAAAGCATTCTTCAGTCATGAGAACAATGATGCCACTAGATTACTCCAGTCCAAACACTGTGTTCTAAAAAAATATTTTTTCCTTGAAGTGATTTAACACTTGCTTTATACCTCATAATATATATCTGAAAGAACTATGTTTAAATGGAGTTAAGTCTGTCTATAGCATACCAATAATATTAGGGTGTAAAATATTATGGGGATATTGTAAGTATTCCCCATAAAAACTATTAGAAGGAAATTCAGAGTTGAACTTCAGAGTTGAACTAAATTGAAACACTATTCAACATCTTCATCAGTGACTTGGATGAAGGGGTAAAAAGCACCCTGTTCAAGTTTGCACACACTAACATGTGGGGGGAAGTGGGCACACTAGAAGGGAGGAATAGGCTGCAATCAGACCTAGACAGGTTACAGGGGTGGGCGGACAAAAACAGGATGTGTTTCAATACTGACAAGTGCAAAGTGATGCACCTGGGGAGTAAGAACCAGCACCATACCTACAGACTGGGGAACTCCCTCTCGTCAGTGCAGAGGCAGAAAAGGATCTTGGAATCACTACTGATGCCAAGATGAACATGGGCTGGCAGTGTGGGGACGCAGTCAGGAAGGCCAGCCATACCTTGTCATGCATCCACAGATGCATCTCGAGCAGGTCCAAGGAGGTGATCCTCCCACTCTATGCGACACTGGTCAGGCTGCAGTTGGAGTACTGCATCCAGTTCTGGGCGCTGCACTTCAAGAGGGATGTGGACAACATGGAGAGGGTCCAGAGGAGGGCCACTCGCATGATCAGGGGGCAGCAGGGAAGGCCCTACGAGGACAGGCTACAGGACCTGAACCTGTTCAGCCTCCACAAGAGAAGGCTGAGGGGGGATCTAGTGGCCTGTTACAAACTAGTCAGAGGGGACCAGCAGACATTGGGGGAGTCCCTGTTCCCCCAAGCACTACCAGGAGTGACAAGAAATAACAGTCACAAGCTGGCAGAGGGTAGATTCAGACTAGACATCAGGAGGTGCTACTTCATGGTCAGGGCAGCTAGGATCTGGAACCAACTTCCAAGC